TATATATATATATATATATATATATATATATAATAATGGCGAAAGAATATTATATAAATGTTATCAAGTCTATCTTATCATGATTTTTTATAGTAAATTAATTGGTCTAACTTTTCAATCACCAAATTCAAGTACGGTGTATGTTATATCACTAATAAATAGAAAATTGCCCTTTTATTTTACTTATCACAAATAAAACATGTCCCTAGCAAAACATTATTAGAGTTTGATATATTAATTAATATATAAGTGAGAATGACTCACTTGCTTAATGTTTTAAAATTTAGGGTTGATATATGGTATCAAACTCACTTATATAATTTATTTAATATATATTGGTGAAATGTTCTCCAATGTTAAACTCATTTGACCCAACAATGGTATCAAAGTCAATAATTTGATCAAGTGACCGATAACTGATTTAGACAAGTATTGACTAATAAAATTGACAATGAATCCAAGAGTGAGATCCTGAATAATGGAATTGGCGAGAGATCCAAGAGTGAGATACCGAAGTCTCCTTATAAGTGTGGAGGAAATGTCCTATTAATGTGCAACAACGATGCAAGTAGATCATCATTAAATATTCACGGACAAAAAAAATCGTTCACTTGATGAGAAAGGAGCATGACCATGTGGAAGAAACTCATACTTGAGGGGGAGTGTTGGAGTTCACGGGTGAAGTGAGTCTCACATCGGTTAGAGTTGGACATGTTGAGTAATATATAAATAAGAAATATTCATCTATCCAATATCTTAATATTTTGGATTGATATATGGTGTCAAACTCACTTGTATAGTTTACCCAATACTCATTAGTAAAATGCTCGCTTGTGTTAAACTCTCTGACCCAACACCCATAAGCACAGAAGAAGCAAAATATAGGTGAAATGGAATTTAGAATAACTTCTTTTCTATTGAAAAAAAAAACTATAATTTGACTAGCATGTCCTTGTCATTATTCCAATCATCACAACCTTTTGAACTTGTAATATTTCACATTTTGTGACTTTAATTAATCTCAAGATGAGTTTTTAGTAAATATATTGAGAGATAAAATTCAGTTGGTTAAACATGTGTTTTAGTTATTGTAACTTTATTGGTATCAAATTTAATTAATATAAATTTTTAAAAAAATACAAACACATTTGGTGCATCAAAGTTTACATAGAAATTGAAGAAAAAAAATTCAAATTTTTCTCTCTATAAAACATTAATCACATGTTATAAAATTTTTCAAAGTTCATTAAAATTAAAAAAGCTTGAACATGAACAATTCAGTCTCTTCAATTGTAGTGTTTTTAGTGAGGGTGAAAACATTTTATCACTTTTAATCACACCCATTATAAATAAAGAGGGTTATTTTTTAAGAAAGTAAATGAGTTGAAGTGTTTTTAAATAAAATAAGAATTTGAATTTTGTTTCACTAAGTCTAACTTTTTCTTAAAGCCGATCATTTAGGTTTTAATACTTGGACTATTTTTCTTTGTTTTGCCTCTTTTGAGTCTTTGTCCTATTAGAATTGTAAATGGAGGAAAAATAAATTTTAGTGAATGAATTGAAATTTTGTAACTCTTTTTGCTACAATTATATTATCCTTTTAAAAGAGAAAGAGTTATCGCATTCATGAGTGTGAAATGAGTTGTAGAAGATTTATAAAACA